CCAACATTCTTTCCCTAGTTGTCATTGTGACTCAAGCGTACCGTTACAAGACGGCTGCAAGAATCTGGGGCACGTTTTATAGCCGGGATCAGAGGAAAGTACAGCTGGTGGAATATAAGAGAGAAAAAAAAAACTCTTTTATATCCTCACCAAGTCTTAACCCAAATCAAGGATTCAGATTCCAACAGACACATGCTTCTGGAGAAGAAACCTTATGTTCTAATAATTTAGAATACCTAACAGTCAAGTCCAAAGTCCTATAAAAAGTGATACTCCAACTTAAAAAAAAATGTTTTCAGTTACCAACAAAAATGCAAGAGCTCTCAATCTTAAGTGGTTTTTGTTTGTTTTGTTTTTCTGCTTTGAAAAACCAAGATGGACACATAAATGTTGCAATGGTTTTAATCTGGAATATTCCCAAAGGTTCTTGGTTTAAGCACTTGACAACCAACTGCTGTCACTGCTTGGGGAGGTGAGACACGGGCATGTCTTTGATGCTTACTCTTGCCTCTGCTTCCAATCCAGCGCTCTCCTTTCTGATCCACCAAGATGGGAGGGACTGCCTCCTCAAACTGCTGCCACCATAAACGTACTCAATCCTGTGCCACGACATCCCTGCCCTGGGGGACTCTACCCTCCGAGTCCATGAGCCTAAATCAGCCCCTGCTTTGGAGAAGCACTGGGACATGAAATGACAAGAGAAGGCAACGCAGACAAGAGCAGCCCTCGAAATGTTCACGCAAATGCATAGCTCCAAGGAAATTAATTAAGATACTTGTTTTGAAGCCTTCTCATTTGAACTGATATTTGTACAGCATGCTAGTATAAACATGCAAGGCTGGAGCCTTGCATGCACACAGCTCCACTGGCATCTGCCTTCCCAGAATGCTATCTGTACCTACAACCCTGCCGAGGAAGGGAGTTTGCCAGGGAGAGAACTGTTGCACTAAAATCTTTTGCATCTCTCCTTAACTGATCTGCCTTATACATTCCTGGTTTCCATAAGTCAGCTTTGTCAGCTGAGACAGAAATACACTTTCTGAATTATTTTGCCATTATGTTTCTCAGAGTAGCTTATACCAATATGACAATGTTGGCCTTTTGACACATGGCAGGATTCTAATCCATCCCAAGGAGGAAAAACTGGCTATTATTCAATGTAGTATGTTCCTCTCCATAAATGACCCATGTAGGCATAAATAGATATACAGTTATAGAGATTTCTATATTAGTACATGGAATCAAAGTAAACAGAATCTTTTTTTTTTTTTCAGTATCGAAGTGAAAGGGATCACCCTAGCGATGGTACCAGCTTATTGCCCTCTCCCTCTAGGATACACTGTATGTAGATGCTCCGACTGTTTCCTAATCGACTTCTCAACCCTCACACAGAAAAAAAAAAAACAAAAAAAACAAAAAACTTGGGCCTCCTTGGAGCAGTCCAGGACAAAGGCTAACTTCTTCCCAGAACCTAGAAAAGGCTAATGCACCCAGTGGAATAATATGTCTAAGTATTCACCCTTCCAGAATCAATATCAGTGCGCTGTCAGTGTGTACATTAGCCTATACTTAAACAAAGGACGGCCCCTAGAGCCCTGTAATGACACCGGGAGTGGATAGCTAGGAATGGGGAGGATGATGCAGGGATGACTGCATTGCACTCCTCAAGCACGAGGCTTCCAGGACGTTGCACAAGACTGGGATTCTTGTACCAGACCCCTCAGCACTTGGTTTCAGCCGCTGATACACACCCAGCCAATGAACTCAAGAGGTAAATTCATATTAGACCTTCTAGTCTGTGAGAAAAGTTTTGCATTTATTATTTGCCTGGCATTGCCAGCAAATGCAAATATCTTGAGATTTGCAGAACACTACAGACACAGCCAAGACGGGTACAATGAACTTGAAACGCTAAGGACTCAGGTAAGACCCACTTTCAGGGAGACTCCGCCATGCTCACTCCCATCCATGTAGCATTTCCTGTGCTCAGACCCAGCTAGAATGACATGCCCAGCGAGGGTAGTGGCCAAGGCCTGAGCATCAATTCTGCATCACTTACACAGCGATGGTCAGAGCAACTACTCACACCTGACCAAGATTCGCGCTCTCCTTCAAACAGACCTGCCTGTAGTGAGGCTGCATTCCGCCTGTAAAATCTGATCTCGCAGTCGGAATTAGGAGGGGTAGGGGATGGGCAATAAAGTAGAAATGACTAAGGCGGTTCAGGCGTTGTAAGACAGGAGCACTGTGGCGAGCAAGCAGGCTTTCCAGCCAGAAGGCACTGGCTTGGAATCCTAGTCCGGTTGTTCATAAGGCATGTGACTTGTCTAACCTAAGAACTGATTTGGTAAAATATGAACACCAGTGCCCAAACTTGCAAAATGAGGTTCCTTCCTACCTCATAAAGTCATCTTAAGACTAAACAAGCTAATACGGAAAGCTTGCTCTAGTAGAACTGATATAATGAGCTGAATTATATTATAGTTGTTAATACAATTTTTATTTTTATTAGGCCCGCTATGGCCTAGTTATTTAGGAAGAATTAAATCCATCATAATTTTGTAATTCATGAACAAAATCCGTAACCGACGGCCTAGATGGGGTTAACTGTTCATCGGACTTAGCACAGTCTAAACTTGGCCACACAGTCAACATGATTTTGATAAGATTCCAGTTATTATGCACAACGAAATACTTGAGATTCTAGAAAATTTCACTGAGACACCAATAAATCCAGCCACGGAACAATTTCTCTACACACACACACACACACACACACACACACACACACACACACCGCCCCTTGGGGATATATTAAAGCGGCAGCAACTGAAATAGCCTTAGCTCGTAATTAAGACGCAGCTAAACAGAGTGCAGCCCCGGCTGTGGCCCTCTAAGACACAGAACACCCGGGTGACAGCTCCGGCTACCAGGGCTTTGTTCTCCTGGAGCGAAAACCATGAAGACATAAAGTTGGGGAAGTGTCGCTGCACACTGTGGGGGCTGGGAGGAGGGTGACAGGCTTGTCTGCGCTGGGCGGATGTTCCACTAGCAACTGTGCGGCAGCCCACACCCGCCAGGGCCCTTCCCCGCCCTAAGAGCGTGACTTCACTTTTCTGACACTGCCCTTAAGGAATCTGGGCCCCTGTGACTTCCAGTAATTGTACGCACCACCCATGATGAAGCAGCTGAAAGCAGCGTCAGAAAGAAGAGCTAAGAATTAAGGCCAGAGAAGCCCCCACGAAAGCGCCGCCGTGAGCAATCTTATCACTCCCGGAACACCAGACAAGTCTTTTCTCATTCCTTGTCATTGAAAGGCACACTTCAGAGGGATTGTGATGGGTGCTGGGCACGGGGTCCAGATTTGCACTTTAGCCACCAGGCACACTTTCCCTTCCCCCATTGCCGTCTTGCTCCTCCCTTTCACCTTAGAGCTTCTGGCTTGGCTGCGCTCACACCCAGCAGTCCCAGCGGAGCTTGCAGCTCACACTACGCCTCAAAAAAAAAAAAAAGCAGGCAGTGAACGTCCATGCTCTTACGTGCTTGAGAGAAAAGCCAGGCTGAGTTGACCTCTTCCCTCCCAGTTAGCTGCAGGCCAGCCGTGTACCCTTAAAGGACTCGGGAGCAGCATGCGTGTGGTGTGGGATAAACAAACTAATTAAAACCCAAGCTCTCCCGCTCAGGCTAGTGCCCAATGGGCCTGCTATGCCCAACTCCACAGGAAAAAAATAAAGCAATCCAAGCTGTTCCTGCTCCTTAGGATATATCTGTTACAGGCGCCATCAACAATCTAAGCCAAACATAAAGGAACCCGAGGGTGCTGTCCTTTCCAGTAAGACCATATACGTGGGAACTATCGACGGGACTGCCCTGACACCCAGGACCACTCCCTAACTGTAAGGAGGCAGACCCATCAACTGCGCTGACACGTGTCTTCTTTCTCTCCCCTAGCAGCAATCAGTCGCACCAGGGAAATCCGGTCCATTTCATTCCCCAAAACAAAAGGCAAATACACCGTTCCCTACTGACCTCTTGGACTTTCCTTTAGAAAATAAAAATTAAAAAAAAAAAAGGGAAGAAGTGCAAAGGGTATAAAGGCAAGCTCTGGATTAAATGTAAACAATGCCTGTTTGTCCAGAGTTTCAGAATGAGGTGATGTTATGAGTGGGGGTTTGCCTTCTTAACGAGTACTAAGACACCCTGACATTTATCCATCACATCAGCTTGGCTCTAAAGTTAAGCAAGAGACAGCAGAGCCACTGGTCCCTCCAGAGTGTCTCGCCTGGTTATCTTTGACTATCACTGCCGCAGAGAGATAGGCTCCTCTCCCATTACAAACCAGCCTGCAAACAGCTCCCGCTATAGCCTCCTAACTATGGAGGACATGAAGACATCCCGTACAAATCAAAGGACATAAATAATCTCATTCGGTTTCAGTCTTTATGCCTTTGATAAATTCTTTCTTGAACACGCGAGAGAACGCCTTTCAGATGAGGGTTATGTCAAAGGCTTATTCAGCCTTCATTCCTCGCTGTGAGGAACCTGAAACCCAATGGAGGTAAATCCTGAATTCCATTCTGCAAGTCACTAAATATTTCATAAACCACAGAGGCAAATAGGACCAATTAGCCCTGCCCCATAAAAAAGAAACATATCTTTACAATGCTACAATACCATGAACTACACATATGAGAGCTTATATGGGCGTTTGCGGGAGAAAATTATCCTGCGTTTATTTTTTTTATCATTATTCCATGAGAACACTAAATATAACAGGCAGAGCCAGAGTAAGAAATCTTTACACTTTGATTCTTACATGACGCTTGCAGGCCTTTGTCTTAACACAGCAGCCTGAAAACAGAAATAAGCAAAACAACCCCTCTTTCTCCGGTCCATTTTAAACAGACAACATCCCCCCCATCTCTTTGCCTGAGCAGACGCCACCGCCGACCAGCCAACAAAACAACCATGTAATTAAGGCTCGGACATTTAACACTCACCATCTCCTGCTCCCGCCGTCTTCTTTTGATGTTTACAGCACATCTGTAGGATGCAATACTAGGAGATGCCTTGTTTGACCTGCTGCATGATGCTGTGACATCAGTTCAGATGATGCAGCTCATTATGGGAAAGGCTGCTGTTGCTATGGCAACCGGGATGTGCTAGGAATCCTTGCTGCATTTCCAGTGGAGCCCGAGACAATACGGAAGCTCTGTAAGAAACAGACAATATGCAAAATTCAGTCCAAAGGAAGAGGGTTTCTCATTGGACTAAAATCCGTTAAGTTCAAAAGGGATTTTCCTAGAAGAATTTTGGAGGAAAGTATTAAATCACCTCTTTATTTGCTGCTATAGATTTAGAGACTCAAGGTGGGAGTGGACTGTAGGCTCGGGACTGAGAAAATACAAACTCATATTCATGTTTCCCTATCAGGCAATCTGATCATTTCTTCTCTCTGGCTAGTGACAATACCTCTTTAAAAGTTACTGAAAAGAGTTCTAGCTCCTGTTCAAAGACCACAAGAGCAAAGCAGGGAGTGAAAAGTAAAAGAATATTTAATATAATAAACAGCTAACCAAGTGAGTCTGAGTCTTGAGAGCACAGACTAATAATTCTCCAAACATGGGCCAAGCCTCGGTGGCTAAGTCTGCCCTGATGATGTACCCTGACGGACAGCAACCCACAGGACTTGCCACAGCAAGAACTCAGCTGCCACCTAACCTGCAGGGGCACCAGGAAGGGGTCCTATTCCAGGGACCCTTCCCTTGTCCAGCAGAGAACTCCTCGCAGTCAGGGCCAAAATGCAAGTGTCTTTGGGGTTAAATCCAGAGCAAGTGGAAGAACTGTAGAAATCTCTGGTCACAGCCACTCCCAAGGCTGGGATTTGTTGTCCTCTCCAGGCAGGAAGGCTGCCTACCACAGAGATTACTGCCTCCCCTCCCCCACTGGGCACATTAAAACAAGACTCAGGAAGGGATTCCTCCCCTTAGTCAAAGAAAGGGGAGTCCAAAGTAGTGGCTTATTTCCACTCTGAAGTGTAAATAAGCATCGCGTGGACACCGAGGAGGACTCAGCGTGGACCAGCAGCCCAGCTCTCACAGGGTTAATACTTGCAGGCCACCGACAGACAGACAGACACAAGCTGACCTACATCCATTCTATCTTTACAACTCTGAGGAAAAACAACGTTCTGAAAACCCAATAGATAATGAGACAATTCTACCGCCCCCTCCTCACTGAGATTTTGAACAGCCCTGTTAATCAGAAGCACTGAGGGTGGGGCTCGGGTGTCAGCCTCTCTGTAAAGGCGACCTGATAAAATGCAGGAGGGGTGCCAAGATCCTAGCTGGGCGCACCACCAACCTTGCACAGGGCAGCCCTGCCCCGGGTGTGGAGCCATGACTGTTCAGAAACAAGGAAGGGGAAAGCAAGAGGAGACACCGTCTAGGTACTCAGCAGTCGGCACAGCAGGGCTCCCTTATCTTAGGTCACATGATACACAGACACACAGACAGACAGACAGACAGACACACACACACACAATGGGAAATTAGCATGGAGTCCCTGCAGAGACAAGAGCACTGACCTGGGGGTCAACAAATCCACCTGGGATGCTACTCCCTCCTAGAATTCTGTGTACTGTGGCCCAATCTAGTAATCTCTCCTGGGCTCAGGGGTTTCCTCTGAGGGATGATAGACTTGGCTAATAATCATGGTTTGCTATTATTATTATTATTATTATTTTGATGATACAGAACAAAGCTCGACTGCCTTCATTAGGGTGGGTGGAGGGGATAAGAAACCCACAGTCAAGACTGTTGGGTCCTTCCTACCACAGTTACCAACCCTGCCTGCCAATAGAGTACTACGGGCCTCTCTCTGGACTCTTGGGCCTCCACAAGCCATGGAGCCTTCCAGAGATGAAATCCCAAGACCCCATAAAGAGGAGAGGACTGGTCAACAAATGGACGGGTAAACGATAATGTCGTTTTACCCAGTTATAAGGAGAATGAAATTACGTCATTTGCAGGAAGAACAGATTATGACACTAAGGAAATAAACAAGCCAAAGACAGACAACACTTTTTTTGTTCACAGAATATATATAATATATAAACAATCACATACATAGTATATAACTATATCATATATAATAACTTACATGATGTTTATATCATATATAAATATATCATAATGTGATATGTAAATATATTAATATATCATACATATGATATGTATGTTATGTTTCATACCTGAACACATTTTCTGTTCATAGTTCCCTTTGCCAGGTTCCAGATATGGTAGGAAAGAATGAATAGAGCAATAAATCTGACACCGGGTCAGGTTTTTAACATTGTGGACTAGCTGAACCATAACTCACAAGTTGACCCCGTTGGCTGAAAATGGTGGCCATTTGTAGTAGAAGCAAGCTATAAAGCATGTCCTTGCTTTGTGACTGGACCTGTGGTAGTTCACTCCAGACTTCTCCGTGTCCTTTGCTCTGCTGCTTACCTGCCAGGGTTGTTTATGAAGATTATGCTTCATATATATATAGATACTACAATGTATCTAACGGTGTCTTAGGCAGTGTTCTACTGCTGTGAAGAGACACCATGACGGTAGAGGCGCTCATAAAAGAAAGCATTTAATTGAGACTTGCTTACAGTTTCAGAGGTTTATCCCATCACCACGGCAGGGAGCATGGGAGCACATAGGCAGACATGCCGCTGAAAAACAGCTGAGAGTTCTGCATCCGGGCCCACAAGCAGCAGTGTTGTGGGATGATCCTTTTGTACACTGTGAAGATGCATCTGTTTTACCTCTCTGCCTAAGGCACCTTCTGGGGTGGTTTAATAAAGAGCTAAACGTCCAATAGCTAGGCAAGAAAGGATAGGCAGGACTTCTGGGGAGATGGAGGAACTCAGGGGAAGAATCTGAGAGGTGGGGACTCACCAGCCAGACATTGAGGAAGTGGGATGTGCCGTACTGAGCAGAGGTAGAGTCACATGGCAGAATGTAACAATGTAAACAGGTTAATGTAAGCTTTAAGAGCTAGCTGGGACCAAGCCTAAGCTAAGGCCAAGCTTCCGTTCTTAATAAAAAGTCTCTGTGTCATTATTCAGAAGCTGCTGATCCAAAGAAAGACCCGCTACACAGTAGGAAGAGAAAAACACTGTGCCTGGCATAGGCTTTTGAAACCTCAAAGCCCACCACCTTCTTCAAACAAGACCACACCTACTCAGATAAGGACACACTCCTAATCTCTCTCAAATAATGCCATTCCCTGATAACCAAGCATTCAAATACGAGAGCCCATGGGGGCCACTCTTACTCAAACTCCCACATTCTACTCTTTGGACCCATATGCTTATAGCCATATCATAATGCAAAAAAAAAAGCATTCAGTCCAACTTTAAAGGTCCCCATAATTTTTCAGTCTCAAGACTGCTGCTAAGTCTTCAAAGTCTGAAGTCTCTTCTGAGACTCAAGGAACGTTCTTAACCAGAACCCCTTTAAAAATTTTAAATTAGAATATAGAACTTCCAACATACAACGGCATAGAATATACACTGTCATTCCAAAGGGAGGAGAGGGAGCACAGTCGGGAAATGCTGGACCAAAACAAGACCACCTTCAGCCAGGTAGACTCCAAACTCTGTATCTCTGTGTCTGATGTCTGAGTGCTCTTCAGATCTCCAACTCCTTTTGGCTTTGTTGACTACCAACAAGCTTCTCTCTTTTGGTGCTGGTTCTGCACCCCGTCTTCCATGTTCCTACTAGGATGGCCCATTAAGCCCATCTTAACATTCAACTACTTTCCTAACCAAAATCCCAATGTCCACATTCCATCACGAAGCAGCAGGGTCAGGTCTGTCACAGTAATCCCCGACTCCCTTTATCAACTTCTGTCTCAGTCAGGGTTCTGTTGCTGTGAAGAGATACCAAGACCAGGCAAGACAACTTAAATAAAAGAAGGCATTTAATTGGAACTTACAGTCTCAGAGGTTTAGCCTATTATCATGGCAGAGAGCATGGTGGCACTCAGGCAGACATGTTGCTGGAGAAGTAGCTGAGAGTTCTACATCTGCATCCACAGGCAGTAGGAAGATAGAGATACTTGGCCTGGCTTGGGCTTTTGAAACCTCCAAACCCATCCCCAGTGACACTTCCTCCAAGAAGGCCATACCTCCTAATTCTGCTATTCTCCGATGACCAAGCATTCAAGCAATATATAAGCTTGCAGGGGGGGATGGGGGGCATTCTTATTAAAACTACCATGTCATATTGGAAGACAGAAATACCAGACTTTGTTTATGGCACCATTAACAACACTCTTGCACCATTAGTGGAGGTTCCTTAGCACTCAGATTCCAGGCTGTAGAATCAAATGGTTGGGAAACAGACAATGAAAGCCTGAACAGTGCTGGAGCAGTAGCTGACAGCTTACATTTTGATCCATAAGCACAAGTCAGTGAGAGCTAACTCGGAGTGGTGTGGGCTTTTAAACCTCAAAGCCTATCCCTAGTGACGTATGTCCTCCAACAAGGCCACACCTCTTAATCCTTTCCAAACAGTTCCACCGAATGGAGACCAAGTATCAAATATATGAGCCTATGAAGGCTGTTCTTACTCAAACTAGCAACAAACTGTAACCTATTCCTGGCACTGACGATTTCACTTGCAGCATAAGATGCCTAGTTGGGGCACTGTTTTCCCTGTTACTTTATGACTTCATGTATAGCCCCTCTATATATGTATATATTTTAGAAGCTTCTATGGTAGTGGGTTTCCACGTGGTTTTTCAAATAACCTTTTATGCTACTTGCCCCTCTCATGGTCCCTTCTTTATACTTTTCTCCCACCCCCTCTTCTCTCTTCAATACCCTAATTTTTCCTTTATCTCTCCATACCTCTATATTCTTTTACCCACATGGGACACTGACTCGGGGAACAACACCAAAGTGAGATAGAAAGGATGTAAGAAGCAGAAGGCAGGAAGGAGCGCTATGTGATGATGTCTCCTGGGCATGGCATGGCCCCTGCACAAGAGCAAAGTCGATATTCCAGCCTGAATGAAAGAAGGGATAGGAACCTAGGAATTATTGGTGATTGATGGCTGCTGGAGGACAGAGCCATTTTTTTTTTGGAAGTGTGGCCATTGGTGGGTCGCTCATACCCTGACGGATGGCCCCACACTCATATGCACACAGCA